GAAAGGGGGGGGGGGGGGTCCAAAACGGAACCCGGTGAAAAGGAATCCGGCATCCTAGGTGTAGCATACTTAAGAGAAATCTTAAAACAAACAACTAGAGACTAACAAAAAAAAATTACAATGAAAAGTAAACATTTTGCGACAAATATTTCTCCCTCTCTCTCTTTAATAAATAAAACCGGATTCTTCTTCCCCGGACAACCCATTGTCTATGATCCTAACAAAAGAAAATTGCAAGTTAATTCATTCATCCCAATTCTTCTTGTCCTTCAGAGGGACATCTTATCAGCTCCAATATGTTAACTACCTCTCCCATGTCAGGCCTATTAGATGGCACTTGAGAAGTACATATTAAGCCTAGTTTCATCACAGGAATAGCTTCTTCTGCTGGGAACTTCCCTTGGAGTCTCTCATCAATGCATTCCTCCACCCTGCCTTCTTCCAACGCCCCTCTAACCATGTCACAAAGCACCACCACGTCATCCTCCATGTATTCAACAGGCCTCTTCCCAGTAACAATCTCCAAGACCAAGATACCAAACCCATATACATCACATTTTTCGGTGATTTTCACCGTTTTGCAGGCAAACTCTGGTGCCATGTAGCCAAGTGCGCTCTGAATTTTGCTGCTCAGAACGTATCGATCAAGCATTGGCAACAGCCTCGCTAGGCCAAAATCCCCTACTTTTGGTTCACCATAGCTATCAAGAAGGACATTGGTTGACTTAATGTTGTAGTGAATAATGTTGGAATGGTGCAAGTGTGCCAAGGCCTTTGCGGTTCCAAGAATCACATTAAATCTCTCATTCCATGAGAGGAAGTTTCCACCGGATCCTTCATGAAGATGCTTATAGAGACTACCACCAGAGACAAACTCGTATATGAGGAGCTGCAGTGATGGTGTCCAATAATAACCCTCAAGTTCCACAAGGTTTTGGTGTTTGATTTTTCCTAATTTCTTCACTTCTCTTTCAAAATCTTCTTGAGACTTGACAAGGCTTGATACAGTGAGCTTCTTTATAGCAACTGAGTGCCCATCTCTGAGAACCGTTTGGTACACTGCACCAAATCCTCCACGCCCAAGCTCACAATCCTTATTAAGCAAAGCATGCGCACCTGAACTAAAATCAGGCTCACCTGAAAACATAACAAGCTTGCCAGAGTTGGCATCTGTAGTTTGGGAATGGCTGAATTCATCCCCTGCAGAAAATGCAATGGCAGCTGCATCCCGGGATTCAGAGGAGCGAACACGGAGATTGAGAACAGTGATGCTAATAACACCAATTACAATGACAGCAGCTGCACCAATGGCAATGATTGCAGAAATGCTGAGAATGATTCTTTTGTGACCCAAATTTGAAGGCAGTGTACCCGGGCCAGCGTCAGTAGAAGTGTTGGGATTTAGAACAATAGGCTTAGGCATTACAGCAGGGCATGATCTGTTCACTGCAGAGCCACAAAGAGATGGATTGCCAGAAACAGAGGAAGGTGCAATGGTGTTGAAAAAACCACCAGCCGGCAGTTCACCCTGAAGGTTGTTGTGAGATAAATTGAATGAAAAAAGATTGGCAAGGTTGGCCAATTGCTTAGGAAGGGTCCCAGTAAGGTTGTTAAATGATAAGTCCACAGTTTGCAGGTTGGTAAGTTTTGCAACTGCGCCAGGTATTTGGCCACTCAGCCTGTTCTGGGACAGAATCCTACACAATGTACCAAAAGAGAAAAGGGTAAAGAAAACAAAGCAAAACCGGGGGAAGTCAGACCAACAATAAAAAATAGAGCAGTTGGATCTCATCTTACTGAATGAAATTTAAAATTTTAACTCGTGACTACAAAACCTACATAATAGCGCCTATTAAGAAAAAAAAAATTAATGAAACTGCAATGCCATAAACTTTAAGGCCACACTAACAGCAGATATTATCTACCAAGAAAAAAAAATTAAATCATTCATGTCACTTTCACCATCCATTCCCCAAGATGAATTATTGACATCTCCTCATCAACCTTTTTGCATTTTCTATTTTGTAGGGTATATAAAAGGTTCGAAGTATAAATTAACTTAACAAAGTTAAGTATTGCATTGTGCATGTTTATGCCAAAATACCAAAACTTGATGCCAGACTAAATCAAATTCAGTTGTCATGAATATAGTATGATAAGCCACACATCTCAATAGAACATGGAATAAACTATAATACAGAGAAAAGTTTCCAATCAAGAGTATATGAACAATGAACAAACATGCTGGATTTACTTTAAATGCATCCAAAGGTGTATTAAATTGAGTTAAACATACTTTCATCAATTATATAGCATGCAGATAAGCTAAACCCATCTGATGAAACTTAACATTAGTACAAGGGCAACAGTATACACCTACTGTAAATACAAGCACATGTATAAAACGCCAAAATGAAAGATGGGACATGGAAAATGAACTTACAGAGTTGTTAGCATAGAGCAGTTCTCAATTGAAGTTGGAATTTTCCCAATTAGGAAGTTCCTTTCCAATACCAGTTCTTTCAAGGACACAGCTCCTCCTATTTCCCAAGGTATGCTTCCATTCAGCTTATTATAGCTCAGATCAAGACTAGCACATGTTTTCAATTCACCAACTGCAGCTGGTATAGGACCTCTAAGAGAGTTATTTGCCAAATTCAAAACCCGCAAGCTGGTTAGACCTGCAACAGCATCTGTGATTTCACCAGAAAATGCATTGTGAGACAAATCCAACACTTGAAGACTTTGAACCGAGACTTCAGCCAAGGCAAACAAAGGGCTTTTCACCCTATCACTCCCCTTTTCCGACACCAAAACCTTGTCCAAATCCGACTTGAAAATCCACAATGGAAGCCATCCGGACAACGAATTCCGGCTGACATCCAACGTCAAAAGCTTGGTGCAACTCGCCATTGACTCTGGCAGATTACCAGTGAAACCATTTCCTGAAAAATTCAACATCTTCAACGACTGAAGATTCCCAATTGACTTGGGCACCTGACCAGTCAACCCGTTGTTGGAAAGGTCCAACGTCTCAAGCCCTCTCATCTCTCCAATCCACTCAGGAACCTCTCCTGAGAAAGCATTTCCTCGCAAACTAAGGTAACCACACAATGAAAGCTCCTTAAAATCACCAGGAATGCTCCCAGAAAAGGAATTATCCCCCAAATCAATGGACCTCAAAAGCAAACAGCTCCCAAACCCATCGGGAACACTCCCGGTCATCCGATTCCTCGCCACGCTAACACTCCTCAAATTCTTCATAGCCCCAAACCCCTTAGGAATCTCACCCTCCAACAAGTTATCAGACAAGTCCAGAGACCTGAGAGCACTCAAAGACCAAACCCCAGAAGGGACAGAACCAGAAAACTGGTTACTGGAAAGGTCAATAGCAGCAAGAGCAGCACAAGCCCCCAAAGTAGAGGGAATGCTCCCAGAAAACCTGTTCCTGGCCAAGGACAAAGTCCTGAGAGACCCACATTGTCGGAAAACATCCTCAGACACCTCCCCTGAGAGACTGTTCCCACTCAAGTCGATGACCCTAAGGTTATCTATTCTAGCAATGTTGGGGTTTATCCCCCCAGTGAGGTTATTATTCGCCAGAGAAAGCTTCCTCAAAAACTGCAACCTTTGCAACCCTCGACCTATTCTCCCAGAGAGAGAAAATCCATCTAGGTTAACCTCCACCACCCTGTTGGATCTAGGGTTGCACTTCACCCCAACCCAACCAGCCCCACACGCATTCTCGTCGTCCTCGTTCCAAGACGCCAGCGTCCCCTTCGGATCTCGTATGTCAGCCTTGAACACAATCAGCCCCAAAACGTCGTCGTTCAGGGAAGGGTTCACCGCCGCCGCCGCCACACAGAACCACACAAGAAAAACAAAAACTCTCATGGTCGAAAATAACGCTCGCATTTTCCAACACTAAGCACCCATGTGAAATTGAGTCGGGGAAAACAAGTAATGAAGATCAAAGCCTCCGAATTTGGTCAGAGCAAGTAAAACTAAAACTAAAACCCACGCTCTAGCTAAAAATAGAAGCTTTTTTTTGTTTTGTTTTGTAACGGCTAGATTAAGAGTATGAGAGAAGAAAAGGAACGAGTCAAGTAACGTATTTTCTTTTCACGAGGAGCTTCAAAGACAAACAAAGATGAATAAAACGGCACAAAGAGTGTCGTAGAAGACTCGATCCAGAAACCATGAAATGCAGGAGCTGAGTATATGGAGTTCACCGGAAGAGTAACCAACCGGAAACGGCAAACAGATTTTCCAGCGAGTGTCACCGGAAGCTCCTCGCCGGTGTTAAAAAGCAACGTCTCTCTCTCTCTCTTTTTCTCTCTCTCTCTGGTGTGGTGGAAGGAGTAATATTCAGTTTTTATTAACGGCAAAAGGGTTCCCGGTTGGTAGATAGGAAAATAAATTAGGACAAGGACACGTGGCGTATCCATGCCCCGTGATGATTCCACGTGTCTGACATGTCATCATGATCAGTGTTGCTTTTGACCTGGAAGCTTACGTGGCTTTCCATTTCCCAGCTTTGTCTTTTATTTTATTTTTTTGTTAATTAAAAATTGTTTAGACCTCGCTTGCCTATGATTTCCGATTAGAATTAGAAACCGTTGGTGGAAAACAGAGATATTACGTTGTTTTTTCCTTTATACCTTTCTGCGCAGAAAGAAATATTGCTAATTTTATTGACAGCAATCTTTTTTTTTTTTTTTTTTTATTGCAATGCTACACGTGATCGCACGAATAGAAGTTTTTTTTTAATATGGATAATCATTACTTAATTTTTTAAAATTTGGGAAAATAAAAATAACATAGTATGTTTTCCCAAAAAAAATATACTTATCATAAATATTTTCCATACCTAAAATGTTTTATTTTATCTATTGGATTTTGTTGATGTGAAGTAATGAACACAACATGGGAAAAGCCTATGCATATGTCATTAATTATCATAGCTTAGAATTACCATGCTAATTTGAGTGGCTAGGTACCTGCTAAATGACAAAATTCAACCTTAGGGTCTTGAACTACCACCACAATGCACGTAGTTTTCTTCAAAATTGAAAGACCACCATAAATCAAAGTAGAAAATGTGAACCAGCTCAACAGTTCTAGTTGACTACTGGAGCTAGAGGCATTCCCTTATGTTGAGTACGTTGAACTTCACTGCTGATTTAAGATATGTCTTAACGGAAAACAAGATTCAGTTCATGAGAAAGGTCCTCTTTAACTAATTAGAGCTAATACACACCATTGGTCATACCCATGATTTATTTTTTTCAGGGTATCAAATTTTTAACTATATAGTGAAAGAACATAATTATCTATACTATATAGTGCATTAGTAGCATAGTGATGGTGATACCAAATTATATTTTTTTAGAAAATGGTTTAAAGTTGTGTTGAGGATGGGATGTGAGTGTAAATTGAAGGTGGGAATGGGAAGTGGGAGTAATATAGGAAAAGGGGAAGGGCATTTATAGTTTAGAGTGAAAGTTAGTTGGGTGTGCAGGAAAGAAAAAGAAAGGCAATAAAGGGGAAGTAGGTGGCTATGGTGGGTGGTGCAATTAAAGAAAAGGGAGAAGATGGTGGGGGATGATGAATGGTGTGGAGCAGTGCGCAGAAATCTAAGGGGGACAGATCTTTTCATGCTTTCTTGAATCTCATTTAGCACAGGTCCCTGCTCTTTTTCACCCGCCAACCACTACTTCTGTGTTACACATTGTTCCCCCAACATTGCAATTTTGCAAAACTACTCTTTAATTTATCCATAACACTCTAGTCTTCACAAGGATCTCATTATATAATAGGCCTTTGAAAACGTCTCAAATATATTCAATAATTTTTATCTACATTATTCACGTAATATTTTAAAATTAACTATTAAAGATTAATTTATATTTTTTTATAGAAAAAAATATGCATAAATTTGAAGTGATTAAGGATATATTAGATAAATTTGTCAAAAAAATTAGGAGGAAGAAAATAAAATAAATTTATTCATAAGTTAAAAAAAAAAGTTTTAAGGAAAGTTAATTTTTTCTCTTGGTAATGAAAAGTTAATATTAAGATAAGATACAGCTCTATATAAGATTATGAAAGCACTTCTAGGAACTAATTTATATATAAATTGTTTTAATTTATGAAAAAATGATTTTATTTTTTGTTTCTATTTTTTTTCTTCTATAAGTACTTTCAGAGAAATTTATCTAAACAAATGTAACATATGCTAATATACTTTCTTCAAATGATTTAGCAAAAAAAAAACCAAATGTAACATATGCTAATATACTTTCCTCAAATGATTTAGCAAAAAAAAAACTATGTTATTTGTCATTTTACAATATTAATGAAATATTAAATATTTTTTTTTATTATATCTTTGACTATTTATTGTAGAGTGAGAGATATAAGAGAAGATTAACATACCAAATGAGGAGGGAAGAGAAAGATTTTTTTTAAAAATTTATTGTTTAGTTCAATCTTTAGGTGGAGAATATAAGAGAACAAAACCCTCCTAATTTAATTTTAACTCCTCTCTAATATTAAAAAATTTGGAAAGATAATTTAATTAATAGGAAAGATAAATAGTATATTAGTAAATTGTATTATAATTTTTATAAAGTCTGAAATATTACTCACATTTACTAATACTTGTAAAAAGAAATAGTTGTTAAACAAAATAAAACAAACAGAGTATATTACTCCCTTCGTTCTATATTGATTGATATTGTGGCCCATGTAGAATTAGAAATTAAGAATATTAAAAAATATATATTCAAATTTTTGTCCCATATAATAAATACTATATGTCTTTATAGAAATTGAGAAAGATAATAAGAATATTTTATTCATTGTTATTTTTATTTAAGTTTCGTACTCTCTTTTTTAAATTTCACCCCTCAAATCTCTCACTTTTTAATTAATCGCTCAATATATTATGTGTTTTTATTTTTTTAAAAAGAAGCACGTTCCCATAATATATATATATATATATATATATATATATATATGAGAGAGATTATAATTACATCGGTGTAATTTTTACTAAGTATTACACCACTTAATAATTTTATATTAAATGTGAATTTTTGTAAATTCAACCGTTAGATTGAAATTTCATATCACTTTATATGTATATCAAATTTTGTTAAAATTGAACAACAACTTAAAGGTAATCAAAATGTTCATATTTTAGTATATTTTGAAATGAATATATTATGTCAATTTTGTTTTATAAGAATGAAATATCAAATCATCTTGGATTAATATAAAACTTTATATATATGATATAAGAGTAAAGAATTTTCAATCTAATGATTAGATTTACAAAATTTATATTTAATATAGAGTTATTAAGCAGTGTAATATTTAGTAAAAGTTATTATAACTCTCCTATATATATGTGTGTGTTAAGATATTTAAAACTACCTAAAATTATACAGTTAGAATTTATATTTAATAATACTTGAAATGCATTAATATGATTATCAAATAATGTTTTACAATATGGTGAAAACAAATACATCATGTTGGATCAACATTAAATCAATCACTATACTATCGATAACTAGACTTATATTCTGGAGCGAATCAATGTGTTATGTATAGAGTATGAAATGTTTTATGCGACGACTGATGACATACTCGCGTGTTTGCCATATTTCTCTAGAAAATGCTGGTAACTGAAAAATATTAATAATGCAATGAATCAAAATTAGCTTATTAAACGTGCATGAAATTGAAGCCAACAAACAAATTTGTTGAAGTACGTAAGAGGTGGGGAAAAGGTAAGTTTGTGATGAAGATGGAGGCATCGTGGGACGTGTCGAAGTCGAAGCTGGTTTGGTTGGCACTGTGCGAAACCTCATGGGCACGGTAGTTATTTGGATGTGAAATTGTGAAGGGACAATAGAAGATAAGAAGAAGCCCGTGAGGCAGCCACACCAACCTTATTATATATACATTCACTGTGGTTGACTCCTATATGCTATGTCCTATCCCTCTGCTACCAACACAATACGACACCCAACTCAATTCTATATTTTCATCCTGCCATGGCAGCAGGTACCCATCATGTGGATTCATTTTCATTTTTTTTTTTAAAGGGCATGATCCATTTAAGAAAATCATATATTTCAAAACATGTACTTTCGTACAAATGATGGAGACATGAGGATCATACTTTAAGCTATATGATGATCTATTCAAGAGATAAATGTACTTTTATGTATATCAACTTGAAGATTAAACTCTGATAACTATTGTAAAATGTAACATGTAATATAGGTATATGAATCGATGTAGCTGTAAAAAAATGGCCATGTTCTATAATGTGGAGGGAGACAAAATCCGAAGAATGTCAATGGAAGGGAGATGGTGATAAAACGACCAAGCAGTAAACGACAAAAGAGTGGTGCCGTTAAGTGAAAAAAACATTTGCGACTTCCAAAATGAAAGTGGAAGAGAATCTCACAGCTTTAACGATTGTGTGCATTGGTCAATCCTTACAGTTGCAGGCTTTACAGCAATGCAATTTCAATTTCTCATCAACCTTTGCTATCTATCGTTGTCTAAGTTTTACTTTTTACTGTTTGGACTTTGGTCTTTCTTAGCAAGATTTTGCTTTTAAAAGTGAAAGAGTAATGTCTTAGGATGAGTCGGTGTCATCATGTCAACCGTCGAAATTTTTGCCAATAATATCTTTTTAAATTAGTTACACTTTATATTTCTCTAAGACATAAGAATTAATTACACATTCTAACCAAATCTAATACTTATAGTTATTTTTTTATTCATAAAAATTAAAAATTATAATGATGAGAACGATGTTTAAATCTAATATTTGTATATATTATTATGATTTCATCTTTATTATTAGTTAGTTTTATTATTAGATTTAGTTTCATTTCTTGATTCAAAAGAATGTATAACTTTTTTTATTTAATTGGTTCTTATAAAAGTAAAATAATATCTTTGACTGCGATTTTATACTTTAGTTAGTATGGGTGTGCATGGTTTATTTTTAAAAAGAATCACTATTTTATCAAATTGTTGAATCACATTAATATATCGATTTATAACCAAATCAATTTTGTGTCAATTTTTAAGAATTGAACAATTTTTTTAAGAAAAAATATTTTTTTTTTAAATTGTGAACAAAGTAATAATTAATGTACTATTTAGAGATAAATTAAAATTCTTTTACTAATTAGACATTTAATTTAGAGACTAATTAAATAGATAAAATATATCATAAAAGATAGAAAAATCTTTATTTTATTAAAAAAAAATTAAGTAAAAAAGTTTAATCAGAAAAATTTAAAGAGGTCAACTCAAAAACATTGAAGAACTATAATTTTCGTGTGTAAATTAATTATGAAACATGATTTGATAACTAACATTTACTTTAATAGTTTAAAGACAAACAAAAGGTTAAAGAAAATATAACATCATGATCGTAAAGAATGTTTAAACATTTTATGCAATAATGCAAATTATTAAACCGTGAGATATGAAAGACATATGTAAATTATTTTGATTTAATTTTATTTTATTATTTAAAAAATGATACACCAAACTTAATTATCAATACGGTTCATTTTTTTAATATTCATTTTAAGTGAACAATGTTGTTTTTTTTAAATAGTACACTTTGATTTCAAATTTAAACTAGTTTTTTTTTTTGTACACCCCTTCTAGACTTAATCAAAATCCAATCTTTTGTTAAATAACACAAATGTAAAATTACTTGAAATAACTACTTTTGGTACTACTAAAACAACAAATCTTGAAGGAGCATATATGATTTGAAAGATTTTAGTATCAACATGACCACCGCAAAAATTAAAAACTCACACTCTAATTGTGTTACGCTTTAATATATCTTATTAAACAAAATTTTGAATTTCTATTATTAATTTTGAGATTTTTAAAGGGAAATTAAGATGGAGTGAGTTTTAAAATCGACTATATTATTTCATCTAATAAATTTTAAAAAAATGTGATATTTAACATTAATTGCTTGTGTTTTATATAAAAATAATTAAATGTTTGTGACATTAAAAGTTGAAAAGAAAATATAAAGGGAAATATTAGCAAGGGATAATGAATCAAATGTAAGAAAACTTATTATTTTTATGAAAAAATATTATTCATGTCTTTCTTATATGGATTTTAGGTGTTTTATTACCCAAAATAATTATATTTAATTTTTTATATGTAAAAATTACAATAACAATAATATAATTCAAATTTATGATCATGTGTATATTGTTTAAAGTCTTAACACTACTCGACTAATCCTAATGGTTTTATACTTATACTCAAGTCGAGTAGAATTATCGGCTGAATTTAAAACTCATAATTGGTTATATTACGTCCTCAATTATATTACTAATGTCTTCAAAAGTTTATAATTGTTTGTACTTTGCACAACCCAAAGAAAATATTCTTAAAAAACTTGTTCACCAATATTAACATGCATTTTTTTTGGGTGAATTGAAAGGGAAAAAACACCTCAACACAATCAATTAAAAACCACAAGGATACACAGTTTGAGCAACATCAACTCTAGTAATCAGAGCATAAAAAGGTCTAAAATCATTAAATATACAAATAGTATCTCCCAAGGACAAACCAAAATTGGCTAACTTATTCACTACTTGATTCGCTTTACATAACACATGAGACCAAGATAATCCTCCATCAGTCAGGTTAAAAGGGGTGATAGTGATACCCTACACTAGTAAAAAACATAGGTGATAGGAATTACAACCTTCCCTCAACAAAGACACTATAGAAGTTGAACCAGACTCTAAAAAAAAAAAAAAATTCAAACCCCTTGTTCTAAGCAATTGTAATACCAATATGAATCGTCCATAACTCACATTGTAGCATCGAATAGTAGCCAATGTTAGCTACAAAAAAATGTAATAATGCTCAAATGATTACGAAAAGTGCCTCCTATAATTGTCCTTGTTATCGTCATCGATGCATCACGATTAAGTTCCATAATATCAAGAAGGGAAGGTTACCAACAAACATGCATTGGCCCCAGAATTTTCCCAACAAAACTGACTCTATCCACATGATGTGTACAACTAATCTTGATAGCATCTTCACCAACAAGAATGCACAATTTTATTGTAGAGGGCTACATGGAAAAACCCTAAAGTGATTCTTACATTGCCATAACACATCCAAAGTCACTTCAAATAAAATATTCTGGCTCCTATTATGTATATTAGAGGAATCACACAAATTACAAAGTAGCCATTCCAAAAATTCTTGATTGAAAAACCAATAATGTTATTGTCCTAAAAGAAAAATATACTAGACAACTCTAGCATGAAGGCATTTTCTAAAAACATATTCCACATCCTTAAGGTAGCCCACATATTTCAAACAAGAAGCATTAGCTATCAAATGTTTAGCATGTCTCACCACATTAGTCAATAAGGCATTATTGACAATTTTCCCCAACAAAGTATGTACCCATTCTAATCCAAGCCAACACTAAATTGTGTCCAACAATGGCTCACTCTCAGATTCAAGCCCAATAATAAGCTAAGCATATTTAGATGCGACAAAGAAGTTACTAGTTGGTGTTTCTTTCCACAATATATCAATTAGACCTCCCAATGCATTAGGTAGAGGTATTATGTGAATGCAATCTAAAGCATGTTCATCAAAAAAAATTCTCAAAATAGAGAAGTTTCAGTCACATGTTTATAAAACCACTATGTATACTGTAATAAAAATCATTGTGGAGGGAATACTCCAAGTTAGTAATTGTTTCACTTGACTCCAACAATTACAAATACCTTTCCAAAAGTTTGAACCCTTCGTATTCATATTAACTGAAGAAATAATAGTCACCACACTGATACCTTGCTCTTACAACATATACCCATAATGCATTATGATGTATGCATAAATCCCAACCACATAATTTCATGAGAAAAGTCAAATTGAACTTTTTAGATGTTCTCAACCCCAAGCCCCTAGCAAATTTAGGCTTGCACACATTACTCCATGCCACTGTGTAAATCTTCTTGCTCGTCTTTGAATCCCCCCACAAGAAGCTTCTACATTTTTTATCTACCTAATCACATATTAACAATGATAATTTAGTAGCTTTCATGACATATGAAGGGATTGCCTACAAAACCAATTTTACCAATGTAAGCCTTCCAGCAAAAGACAAATTTCGAGTCTTCCAATTTGATAACCTCATGTTTTCTTTATTCATAATGAAATTAAATGATTCTTTAGAGACACACTTGAGAAGGATTGAGACACCCATATATTTACCAAAATCTCCAGTGTATTGAAATCTTAGGGCCTGACTAAGTTGTTGTTTCCGATGCAACCAACATTCTTTGAGGAAAAAAAAAAGTTTTTATCACAATTAATCCCCTAACTAGAACATCTATAGAAACACTCCATAATCTTACTAATAACACTCGTCTGATCCTCACTTGCTTTTGCAAAGAGAATCAAGCCATCCCCAAACACTAGGTTAGAAAGTAAAGGAGCTTTTCTTACTACATGGATAGGTTGCCACTATTTTGCATCCACAACTAATTGAATCAATTGAAATAGAAACTTAATAAATAGGCCAAATGGGAAAGGAGAGATTGGGTCTCCTTGCTTAACCATTTTTTGCGAAGTGAAATCTTCCAAGGTCTTCCCATTCCATAACACTCATTTTCAACTATGAGATACACCACGAAACAACGTTAATAAAAGTATTAGGACATCCAATATCCATAAGAGCATCGCTAATAAAGCCCTAATTTAGTCTATTGTATGCTTTCTCTGAATCACTTTTAATAGCCATTTAGATTGAAGCCTCTTTCTTATATCTCATTGAATAAAAAGACTTCCTAGGCTAAAATGATGTTATCCCTATTCTGGCGATGATGGATAAAGCTCGCTTGGCAAGGTCCAACTAGTTTTGCCATCACAAGGCGAAGACGATGAGCCAAAATCTTTGTCACCACTTTATTGGAGACGTTAGAAAGGCTTATAGGTCTAAAATCATCAAGTCTTTAACATTTTTAGACATAGGAATGAGTGTAATAAATGTGTTTTTAATCTTTGTCACCTTGTGAGAATTCAGATAAATATCTTACGCCAAATGAACTAAAGGTGACTCAGCCTTTAGCAGCCTAGGTGACTCAACACTACACATGAGCAAATCATCGTCCTCTAAACAAGCTTGGTCAAGTAAGTTGTACTTGATTGATGGGCATTTGTTGAAAAAAGTAGTAGAACTAAGAAAGACCCACCTAAAACCACTACCTTGGAGATCGGATGATGCACATCCATCTTTTGATCTGCAATCTTCATATGCGCATTTTCAATGCTGAACAAGGGTAACCCTCTATCAGTTTCCATCACCTCCCCTATCCTCTAAATGAATTTGATTAGACAAAACTCATTTTTCTTATCATTTTCACCACATTTCTCTTGGAATGGACATCAACATTGATCAAATAGCCCTAGGGAAAACCTTTTCCCTATAGGGCTAATTATAGTTTAGGCCCAAAAGAGGACAAAAGCTTATGGCAGATGATAAACACACCTCCACTCTCATATAAACACACCCCCTTTTTAAAAGAGTATATATAAAATGTCTAAATTACCCTTAAAAAAATGAAATTCCAAAATTTACACCCCCTTTCCCGCATTCCTATACCCCGCACCTCCCTTTCCCACACCCCACACCCCACACCCCACTCGAATGCTTTGGTGTAGTTTCTCTCAACACCTGCTCCCCTAGCGTTGATCTCTCCAAGAAGCTCCATAGATCTTGGTTCTCCCTTCTCCACAGCCTTCAAGAACCACGAAAGTGCCTTTGAATGATCGCGCCTCAATCCCCTTAGGCCAAAGTAGTATAAAAGGCCAACTTTGTACATGGCAGCAGCATTCCCCTTCTGGGCTTGATACTCCAGTATCTGAAAGTCCTCGTCCTCTTCCCCCTTCGATTTTCTCAGAGCCTCCTTGTTCTCCTCAGCCCCATTGTAAAGCCTCACCGGCTCAATCACAGGGGAATCCTTCGAAATCAAAAAACTATTCACAGCCACTTCAGCTAATTCAGTGTACAGCTTAACAGCTTTCTCGAACATCTGTTACCAATGGCGCAATTTATCACATTATTGAATTAACCTACATCTCCATGATTGCATTTTTAACCATACATATTTATTTACAAAATAAAACGACTACTACTGAGTTTTCTTTTCTAACCATATATATAAGACAAATTCAATTTATTCACAGATCATAAAGTGTAATGAATCACTGATAAAAAAAAGGTGAATGCATTGACTCACATCTTGGCGCGTGTAGGTGTAAGCCAAAGCCATCTTGGACTGCATGTTGCCACCCTCGGAGGCGAAGTGGTGGTAGAGAAATGCCTTTCCTTTGCTTCTCTCTCTCAGAAGCCCCATTCCCCACAGAAATCCTAGCACCGATTGCGCGGCGGGGTGGCCGATGTCGGCGGCGGCAGCAATCTCGGCGGCGGCGTCCTCGATAAGGGCAGGGTCGGCGGACATGAGCTTATGGACGGCGAAGTAGTAGGCGGCATCGGAATCCGTGAAGGGCGGGGAGTCGCCGGGAGGGGGCTCGAAGATGGGGCGCCATGAGCCGGGGTCTTAACTTGCAGCACAACATGGAATACTGGCTCACCCTTGATCTTCTATCATCATCAAACATGGCAAAAGTTGGCCAGCCTTGCACTGCAATTAGAGTGAAGGATTCAAGTCAAGCAGATGTAATTTTTGTGCCGTTTTTCTCGTCTCTGAGTTGGGGTGTGGGGTGTGGGAGTGCGGGGAAGGAGGTGGAGAGTGTAAATTTTGGAATTTCATTTTTTTAAGGGTAATTTAGATATTTTATATTTTTTTTTTTAAAAAGGGGGTGTGTTTATACGAGAGTGGAGGTGTGTTTATCATCTGCCAAAGCTTATTAGTCTTTGATTTGAGGCCCACACTATATTGTCTTTTTATTTTTCTCATAAGAGGGAAGAGGCTGTTTCAAACTTCTCCATTTTTTAACAATTCCTTCTTTTTTGTGTTACTAAGCCCATTACCCTTAATTTCATTAGAAGGCTCTTTAGTCGTATATATCACTTCCTACATGTGATACTCCATCAGATTAGTAAAACGAGACCTCCCTATTTTACTGGTTCCACATGTAGACAATGCAGAATTGTACATGAGTCCATTATTGGGTATCTTCAATGGATATCAGTTTGAATTTCTGTTAACCAACATCCATGGGTCAAAATCATTAACAATAACTTCCTCTGTAACATTCTCCCCAACATTAGGTGTCGGATTTGCCCTTTCAATTTTTGTGTTACAACATCTCTAGATATGGAGGCGTCCACCCCACCAGGCTCCACTACTGTAGTGACCACTTCATACTCAGGTTGCACCACATTTGCAGCCACCAACTCTTTAGAGGGAACATAAATCTTCATCCCACAACTATTTTCCTAGTGACCATATTAACATATCAGTTCACATTAAAATGTAATTAAATTAATATATATTAATCTTCTAAAAAAAATAAGAATAAAATCTTTAGAATGAGCAATATAATTTAAACATTTTTAAAGAAGAAAATCCAGTTTATTCCTTTTGTTTTGGTATAAATATCAATGTAGAAAACAAAGTAAAAAATAACATATTTTCATGATTTAAATCCTTATTTTCGGAATCAAAATAGCACATACTATTGCTATTTTCTTTCTTTCATGACCATTAAAGATTTTGGTTTAAATTAAGTATAATTAATTTTTAAACATGAAACATAAATGAGATATACGCTTAAATTAACCACAATATTGTTAATTAGTACAACAAAATGTCATATTTTATCACATTAAATCATATTATATAATTAAATTAAAAAAAATATATAGGGAGGGGTGAAATAGGGACATGAGATGGAAGAGTGTGGCAAAAAAAATGTGAGTAGGTTGAAGGAGAGAAAAAAAATGATGACAAGTTTGAAATGAGGAAGTGAGGGTGGAAGAATAATTTTTAATTTAAAATGCTTTTAAGACGAAAACTAATTAATCTAATGTGTGACTAAGTAGCTAAATTTTATTAGTGTATAAATATTTCACATTGATGGTGCATATATCATATTTTTTTCTATCATTATAAAAGGAGATTCACTAAACACTATCAATAGGATTTATTTATTTATTCATAAAATTAGTTATACGAATAGATATTTTGTATAATCACTAATATGATTATAAAAATAAATAAATTTTGTCATCATTGTCATGGATTGTTGGCAAAGTGGAGGGGCACTCCATAGTGACAGAGGAAGAGAACCTAAACTGTGTCATAGAGGCTTCTATCCAAGTAGTGTTATTCTGAAATTTAGTATTTTCAATGGCGTTAGAAGAGAGGAAGAGAAGAGAGTCATAATTTATAAGTTGAACTGGAAAAAAAAAATGTAGTGAAAGTTTTGTTAGCTATACAATTTTTTCAAAGGAAAATAACTTAATATTTCAATAAAGATAATAAATGTGAAAAGAAGTTAATGTTTTAACTAAAATTAAAATAATTAGAACTCTAAAATTCAAAGGATTTATTTAATTAATTTTCTATTAAAATAACAGAGGCAATATAAATTTATACGAAACAAAATAATGACATGATAACAACTTAAATAACTGTTGTTGTCAAATTCCTGAAATTTGCATGGTACTATATAGTTTGTCATAATAATATTAGCAAATAAGAATTGGAGGTACGTATGGAATGTTAATGAAGCATTAATATTTCCATATAGGTGGTGACAAATCCACGTGTTTGTTTTATGGTACGTACCATATATAATTGGAGGACCATGTAACTCTATATACAAGAGCCCGGTACATATTTTACTGTTAAAATGTTGTTCACTACCAAAGTCCATATAAATATCGATAAAAAAAAATGATATTAATACGATAACATCATTATTTTTATATTGACAGTGACTAAAAAGTCGTGATAAATAAATAATACGAGAAAGGCAGCTAAACAATAACATTAAGTTTGATCCATAAAGAAAAATAGAAGAGAATAAATGAAAGAAAGAAGATAATTTTTTTTTATTTGTTTGGCAAAAATTAAGTGAAATAAAATAGCAATATATATATATATATATATATATATTATCTTCTTTTATTTATTTGAGTAAAAAAATAAAATAAAAATTATAAAATAATACAAGTATCCTTAGACAAGAATAAAATATAATAAAAAAAGAAAAAGATAGAAAAACTAATCCAATGATAATTTTAAAAAACTTATTCTCCGTCTTTATTTTATCTTAATCTAAATAACTCATATTTATCAGTTAGATTAAAAGACAATAAATGATTTATATTGATCACATGAATACTAGCATACAGATTAACCATCCTTTAATATTTATTATCCATCATAATTAATGTTTAATGTCTTTAAGCTCACCGATATAATATACGACTTTAGTAAAAGAAGATTAGTTAGCAACAAAATCTTAAAATAGGGGATAAGCTAAATGTTATTAATTAATAATTAAAAATTATCATTTCACAGAATGTTAAATTTCAAACTCAATACATGTTTATTGTTTATGGCACTTTTTATTCGCAACAGTTCCAAAAATATAAAAGAAAAAAAACATTATCCGAATTTTCTTCCAACTAATAAAAAAAATTGTTTAACTTTTCTTTTTCTTTTATCCAACCATAGGATAATTGGATTAACTTTTCTTTTCTTTTATCCAAACATAGGATAACTTTTTAAAATATTTTTACTATTTTAGAAAGTCCTTTTTAGAATATTAAGTTTATTATTTCGGAAAGTACTTTATGAAAGTGTTATTTTACATAATTTTGAAAAATATTTTTTGAAATAATAAATTTAGCATTCTGAAAAATATTTTTTAGAAGTGTGTTTCTAAAAGTGTGTTATTTATATACTTCTAAAAATTATTGTTTTAGAAAGTACTATCCATAAATATGTAAAAAATACAATTCTAAAAAATAATTTTCAGAATACTAATTTTACTATTCTAAAAAACCCTTTAGAATAGCGAAATTAGTATTGTAGAATGTTTTTTTTTTTCTTTATAATACTAAATTTAATATTAAGGTTTTTGGAGGTGTGAAAAGGAAGGGAGGAAATGTTGGAAGAAAAAAATGTGCATCTACCCCTCAAAAAAAAAATGTGCATCTAGTTCAATAAAAAAATAATCGAGGAAGCTGCACGTACCTATAGTGTTGTTACACACCAGTTCTATGGTCTGAGTGTATGTGAAAATGTAAAAGAGGTGACGATAGACTAGAATAATATAAAAATCGAGAGAACTAAAACTATCCAATGAAATAAGTGAAAAATTGAGAAAAAACAAGATGATACATGTAAAAATTGAAAGAGAGAAGAAATAATGTATATGAAAAAGAAAATAAAGTAATAAATTAAAAGTTGGAGATATAAAATGAAAAAAATTAAAAATAAAAAAATTAAAAATATTTTAAAATTTTATAAAAAATAAAGAAAGTATACTTATTAAAAAAAAAAAGAGTGTATATATCATGAGCCTTAAAAATAATTTGTGATAAGCCTTTTCTTTAAAGCCCACGCAATCAGTTATTGGGCCTACCGACCACAGCGGACAGGCCCACTATTAAAATCCTATGGAAGTTAACACGACATCGTTTTCCACAGAGAACAAAATCCTGAAACAACAGGGATGTCATAGAAATCGGAAAAAAAAAACCTAAACCTAAACCCTGCAAAGTGTTGAGTTTACAGTGTAGTGAGTAGAAATTGAAGTTGAAAGGATAATAGTAACAGCACCATTCATCACTCAGCAGAGATGGCTACCGTTGAAAGTAGAAAGAAATCATTGGTTTTGGCTCTCTGCAAGCACCTTTCATTGGATCCTGTAAGTTCATATTATGCTTCATTTCTTTCCAATTTGCCACTCGTATTTTCATGAGGTTGAGGTTACATTGCATGTGATATTTGGCTTTGACTCCTAAAAATGATTAATTGCTCAAGCTTGACTCATTTGTTTATACAAGCCTAATAGAAATGTCGAGCTTGTAAAGTTTGGCCTTGGCTCAATTAAGTATATGTTTAGATAACAGTTGAAGATAAAACATGCATTCCAATGCAAATAAAGAAAAAGCTTGTGAGTGTAGTTTTTTTTTTTTCAACTCCAATTAATTTAACTCAACTGATCTCCAAACACACCCTAATAAGTTTGATTGAACATTCAATGAGTCGTGTTCAAATAATTGATGAATTGATCAGCTCATTTACACTCCTATTCAGCATGATAAATATGATAATGAAAATTCTGCTGCTCTATTTTTGCTTGCAGAGTGTTGTTTCAGCTGATAGTTTAGACAGTGATATTAAGAGTCTTTACTTGAACATTGCAGCGGCACCGGGACACGAGGTTAATCACTCTGATGAGGTAACCCGACTTTAACTCACTTGATTGGGCCGTTAATATTATTAGTGTCGCACTTGTATTTCTTCATCTTTCTCTGGATTCCTATTTCCCAAGTATACTGTATGTGGTTTAGTGCTTTACCCATCAGAAATTATATCAGATGCTAACTGTGGTTGTAGGAAAGTGTTGGATTAGTTGTGACTTGTGAATATTATATTATTCAACAATTAATTATATTGAATAAATTTAATGTTTAAATATAATAAGCAAAAAGTTTTTTTTTTTAGGATAATCTCTTTCGTTTTGGTTGTCTTAAAGAATCTTTTTTTGTAGTAAAATTACAAAAATGGTTTTGGAAGTTATTTGTAGTAGTTTTTTTTTTTTTTTTTTTGTATTTAAATTAATCAACTGGTGGGGATAAAATGGAAAAATACACGTTAGATAAAATATAACATGTTAGCTTTTAATCCTAAGTTCCAAAAATTTGTTTATCATCAAAAAGCTATTTCCAAATTACTAAAGACATTTGAATAGACACCTGACACTTTGTTTTCCTATTACTCAGAATGTTCCTATGCAAAATTGTTATGCTCCCCAAAACTTGTATGTTTTGTGTTTTTTCCTGTTAATTATTCTGAGTTGTATATTCTTCAAATTTAGGAGTTGAAGTGGGTAGCTTTTGCAGAAGCTTTCCCAGTGGCCCCTGATGCATGCTTTGAGAATCTCAAGAAATTAAATGAGGAACTGTCTGGAAAGGCTGTGCTCCTGGGCAATGGATTGAAACCCTCTGAAGCTGATGTTATAGTGTATTCAGTGGTTCATTCTTCTCTGGTATGCATGATCAAATTCATCACACATACCCTGTATGCTTTCAGAATAAAGGAAAGCCTCCCCAACCCCCAAGATCCAATAGTTGGTCAACAGGATTTTTTTTCCTGTTTAATGCTCTTGCGTTCTTATTTTGTTAGGATTTGTGCATTTAACATATGTCAATGTGTACAAGACTCTCGATTTGTGTTGAAGTATATCTAGCCATTTTGTTAGACTATTGTTATCTTAAATATTCCTTTGTTCTAAAGTGTTGGTGATATAATATTTTAACTTTTTAAGTTTTAATTAGATATCTTTTGTTGCTTATTACCAGATCAATCTTTCAGATACAAACAAGGACAAACTGCCACACGTGTTGAGATGGGTGGATTACATCCAGGTAATGCTACACTTTAAGTGAACTTCTGGTCATGGTTATTTATGTGAAAGAGATTACTCTACATTGCCACTCATAAATGGTATTTTCTTCCGATTGGTGCTACTTCCACTGTAAATTTTTGACATCTTGAGAATCTGAGATTGCAGTTGGTTTAGGTGAAGGCTATTTTTTTTTTTTTCATAATATTTACTACTAATGATGAAGATCAAAAGCTAATTATCTCTTCAAATAATACAGAAATTGAGTAGATTGTGTTTTTACTTAGATGACACTTCCTCTACATTATAAATGAATTTTATTTTCATTTTCACATTTCCATCTTTGTTTCTGAGAGGAGATTAGCTATCTAGGACCTAATGGTTGAGATTCTTGCATCATGTCTAAGGTCATTTCTAAATAATTATTTAGGCTATAAGCAGATTACCAAGTTGACTAAATATTCAGTAAATATTTCTATTCAATATGTATTTATAATATCCTGAATTTTTGCAGTGTTATCTAGCTATGTTGAGTTTGCCAAAAGCAAAACATTGATTTAAATTTGACTTTCAATATTGTAACAAAGGCATTTATTGATTGTCCTGACTGTATGGTTATTCTTTCATCAGCACAAGCAAGAATTTGTAGGTTTATTTGAGAAAATATTGGTGCAAAAGCCTGGACTTAAGCCTCCGGTGAGACATCATTTCCTTATTGCTTTTTGTTTTTCTTTATAGACTTAACATTAATAAGCTACATGGTATTTAGCTGTAGCCATTTTATGCAGTCCAGTATATGAAATGAACATTGTGTATATATGCCTTCAAAAGTTCTATTATGCACCCTAAGGCAGGCATGTGGAGATTTGTGAATTTCTTGATTTTTTTTTAAGGTAACAAAACCTGTTGGAGCTGTGGAAGCTGATTTGAAATCAAACAAGACTGAGCAAAGCATAAAGAATGTAAACAAGCCAGAAACAGACATAAGCAAGGCTAAAACCAAAGCTGAGGTTAGTTAATATATTTCTTTTTCACATTGACCAGTGCTAATTCAATATATATTATGCTTTTATTTTTCTCTATTGAAGGACAACCTAGACAATGAGATATGGCAGTATGAGGTTATGTCCTATGATAATGATAAAATTCATTTTATGGAGGAAAATTGTAGGTTAACTGGTATTGTACATGTTGGGTAATCCATCTACTCGATCAATATGCAATAATGTATAACGAGTTCTTATTTCTTAAATTTGGCAGTTGATCATCTTGGTCAAAATCTGACAACAGTTACTCAGTTAGTCTTTAACTTAATATATAAAAAAAGACACAGTAACTAAGAACTATAATGATTTTTAAATGAAAATTAGTTCCTGGCTAACTATTCTTGATTTACCAGATTGGAAATGGTGATAAACTGATAATGGTAACCTTTTCACTCATGATTTGAATTCCCCTCAAGGTTGATATTTATTTGGAGAGGCAGATATATGTTACTAGAGAAGATTGAGTTTTATAAGTGGCAATTTGTATTACAAACTCCTTGTACTTTTGTAACTACATCATATACTGTTTCTTCACTCTGGCTTTTATTTCATTTATTTTTGTATTTTAAGGGAAAGTCAATAGGAGACAAAGAACCTACCAAAGCCAAAGCAAAACCTGCTGACAAAGAAGTGGCTGAGAAAGAGAATGAAGTTAGCGTCAGTTTGCTTAATATTCAAGTTGGATTAATTCGTAAAGCATGGAAGCATCCATCTGCAGATAGGTCCTTTGACAAACTAACTGAAAAAGCTTTTTATAAATAAACAAAACTTTAAATTGACAGTAATAGAGTTTGATGCTTCTGTAGTTTGATATGTTTGACACCTGTTTAGGTAAATATTAATATCAATGAACTTAAATTTTGCAGTTTGTTAGTTGAGGAGATAGATGTTGGGGAAGCCAAATTGCGGCAGGTTGTTAGTGGTTTGGCAAAGTACTTCAGTCCCGATGAGTTGACGGTAATATAGTTACCTAACTGGGTGCGATGATTGGTTGTATTCTCTTTGAATTGTAATGAACACTTCCTTATGTTCCAACTCTTTGATTTCACCACTCAGAATCGTCGTGTTGTACTTATAACAAATGTCAAACCTGGAAAATTACGTGATGTGGTGTCCGAAGGATTGGTATGGATGCTCATACTTGTTGCAAGTGTTAAATTGTTTTGCTGTCTCTATGTTGTGATGGTCAAGTAATCTCAAGTGATATATGTATTTGGCTCCCCTTTACAGGTCTTATGTGCTTCAAATGAAGGTCCAACCGTGGTGGAGCCCTTGCTCCCTCCAGAAGGAGCAAAAATTGGGGAACGCATTTCATTTTCTGGGTAAGCTATTCAAAAGCTTTTAGGCGAGGCAGTCAGTCATGTATTTCATGCTTGAGTGACTTGTTTTATCCTCTATATAAAATATTTAAGTAAATGTCACTATTTCATCAAACTATGTCTGAGCTGGTAGCTCAGAAGTTCATAGTTTGCCATGGTCTAGTGCCTTCTAAATTTGGCTACTTTCACTTAGACATGGGCAACGAACAGTTAAGGGTGGAAATGGGCTGAGTTAAGTTAGGATTTACAAGGCCTGAGCATGACCTATTTTCCAAATCAAATGTCTGATCTTGCCTGTTTATTTGATATAAGTGTCTTTTTTAAGGCCTGGTTTGACCATTTAAAAGTTTGGCTTAGCTTCGTAGTCTGCTAAAAGGCCTACTTTGCGGTAAAGGGTCTATTAAATAAGGTAACATACTTCTAAATAGGTTAATGAGTCTACACTTACGCATAAGCAAGGGAGTTTAGCCCTTAAATAGGCTAACAAGTATATAATTTAAAATATTACTGTAAAAAGTTAATATAACAATAATATTATTATCATGGTATTATTTGATTTTATATATGTAGGTTGGTCTGTTACGCCAAAAAGTCTTTTTGAATTGCCAAAAGACTAACCTTTTGAACTAAATAGCCAAAATACTTTGTAATATAACTATATACCTTTCATTGGGTCTGTAGACATCACTTTATTTTTGATGATATGATAAGGTCGAATTTAATGTAAGAATCAATGTGCCAGCCATCAAGCAAACTGAAGTATCCAACAGAGATATAGAGGCCCCATTGTGTGGTATATCATACCATTGGCGAATACTTTTTCGTTACAGCTGTATAACACTTGCTAGAAACTTGCATATTGTTCAAATTTTAGTTTGTAGCACTTGTCTTATTGTGCTTTCGATATAATTTTCTTGAGATCACTACTTATGTATGCATTGTCATTCCAATTTAGAATCGATGGAAAACCAGAAGATGTACTAAACCCAAAAAAGAAACAGCTGGAAAAGATTACACCGGTATTTTTTCTGCACTCGTTAGCTTGGCATTTTTAAACTTAATTTTTATACTGGAAGTGATGTTCATGGTATTTGTCTATGCAGCATCTTTTCACAGATGACAAGGGGGTGGCCACATTCAAGGGAATACCATTTATGACGTCTGGTGGACCATGTACATCATCCATTCCCAGAGCAACTATTAAATAATGGAGCTATGGCCCATTCAATGTTCTTCACTACTTAAAAGATTTTTGGTACCACAATGTTGGGAAGTTTTGATTACGTGAATAAGACGTTACTATATTGTTGACAAGTTTATGTTGCAGTTGCAGTTATATGGTCTTAAATGCTACAAATATAATCTTGAAGCCAATGATTCTTGAATAGTTGAGTTAATACTGTAGTAACTTCACACATTGTAAAAGTAACGAAAGACTCTTTAAAATTATACAACCTACCAACCAAGGGTTAATATGCAGGCCTTAAATGCTACAATTATAATATCGAATCCAATGAGTCGAGTTGATGCTTTAATTGCTATACACATCGAGAAAAGAACAAAGGTTGAAATTATACAACTAGCCATTCAAGGATTATAACAATTCGTCAAAGTAAACGAGATTTAAGGAAGAGAGTAATAGTAATACTATTGGATAAATAAGATAATGCATGAATGAGCAAATGTACGAGGCATTTTTAAAGATTAATTTACCAAAGCATAGAAAAAGCTTAATTGAAGAAATTTTTGTCAAGTTGGAGATTTGACATGGAAAATGGCGTCGTTTAGCTGTACTCCTTGTATTTATTTTTGGGTGTAATTCCCTGCAAATTGTTATGTGGAATGGGACCATTTTGTTGCTCAACTATCAGTTACTTTATAAGGTGTCAAATCGATGAAATTATTAGGATTAGCTTAATGAGAGTTGGGTGTGTGGAAGTATTTTGGTGTTATCACTATAATTCTAATAGATAAAAAAAATTAAGAAAACATATAATATGAAATTCTTTTGTTTCCAATTTTTTTAAAAGATAATTATATCTTTCAGATATATTTTAATTTTTAAACTAATTTAAAGATATTAACTGCCCATTTTATTGATACTAATTATCTATTTATTTTGTTTTAAAAACACGGGGTGTTTTTTTCTCTATTAATATATACTCTCTCCGATTTTGAATAATGAGCACAAAAAAAATAATAACAATTCATGTTTATTAAGGAAAGTTATTTATATCATTTAATTTTGTTAATTTCATCTAAAAAATAGTAACTTATTTTTTTAATATCATTTCTTGAAAAATCTATATTAGGGTATAAAAAAATTGATTCTAAGAAAAACTGATGTTTAAAAAGTATTTTTTTAAGAAATAAATATGATTTATTTCTTAAAATAACAGAAAATTATTTATAAAATTTTTTTTAGACAAATATATTAAAAAATAGAAAATTATTTATTTATTAAAAACATTTTTTTAATACTTAAACAAATAGATTCTAATACTGATAGGTCATTGATGTAGATGTTTGACTTCTTAATCGTCAAAGAGTCGAAGATATTTTATACTAGTAACATAATTAAAAAATCTATAATAATATAATTTTAAATCAAAAACCCATTTTATAGATTTGTCAAGCATAAAAAAGATTGCTTCTAAAATAATAGTTCTGTAACGAAATCCTTTTATTTTTTTTAGTACATTATTGTTTGTGATGTTAAAGAGTGGAAAAGAGGGCTTGTGTGCAGTATTTGGTAAGTGACGACATTGGTAAGGCAATGCAGGTGGGAAAAACCGTGATTGTGAATGAATGACATTTCTTTTCTTTCAAAGGTGTTTGGAGAATCTCTGTCACACTGCATGGCATGGCATGCATCTTGTATTACTATTACTTGCAGTTGCAGTTTGACTCCTATCATAAAATCTCACTCCATTCATCTTCTTCCCTTCATTTTCTCCTTCTTCATGTCTTTCCACATTTAGAAATAAAATCCACCACCCTACTGCTACTCTACCCAAACATTCCACATTCCATAAAAAATAATATAACATATCTTCTACTGGATATACATTTACCATTAATATATTGTTAAAGATATTATTGTCATTCAATATTTTGATAGTCATATTTATCATAATTTCTTACTGATTAACTATATATATAACCAGGTTAAATCAAAGACTTTACTTTAGAAAGTCAATTATATAAAATTTGTTTGGCAGAAATAAAACCACAAAAGTACAAAACAGACTATACCTCCCTAAGATGAATAGGTGGAGGACTAGTCTCCCAAAAAATGAAGTGAGAATCATTCTTAGCACCAAACTTTACCAACCACTGTTAGCTTTACCTCAAAGAGTGCCCCCAAAGGATATGATATTCCAATCTCTAGAAAGGAGATCTCTTACGTGACCAATAATCCCTTCATTCTTATCCCACAGACTCATCACTTGACCAGATCAATCCCCAACTTTGAATCACAATTGTAAACTAGGTTATGAAAAAAAAAACAGCAATAAGAAATTTAATATCCCTTTTGTCCTAATAAAACTAGAAGGATCAAGTTAATTTTAGACAAGTAAATACTCGAGTTATATCTTCAAAAGAGTTTTATTATTGCTTATAATAATTTTATTTAATTTGAACAAAAATTTTTTTACTAAAAAAATATATATATTTGTAGTCAAAACTAAAAGAAAAATATTAAACTTACATTTTTGTGTAAATCACACATTAATTTATACTCTTCTCATGAAAGAAAAAGAAAGAAAAATTCATGCTCCGTATCTGCACCCTCTTACTATAGATTCTGATAAGATGGGACCATGAGGTAAAGTAAAATTGGGCAAGTCAAACTAAGTTTTGGATGACTTTTTTGACTCTTATATAGTGTAGCACTGACACGTATATTGACGCAGAAAGAAGACTCGGACACGGATTTGATACTAGATTCTATTATATATTCTACACCGTATGATGTTTCTCTCTTATTCTGTAACTATATATATAGCATAGCCACCTTCATGACACAATCACACCCTCACTTTGGATTTCGTTTCTGCACCCTAAGATGTGGTCCGTACGGTTAACACAGTCAGTGGAATAAACGGAGCAGAAAAATGTACTTGAAAATCATATGCTCATTGGCATTATACACACATCAAAATTCCGTCTCAAAATCAAACTCTCGAGCGTATCTCCAGTAGAAGCAATTCATTTGAGTTGTTTTATGCATTGAAAATTAAAAAAAGTGGTTCTCAGTGTCTCATGTCAGCATTAAGCAACTCAAACAGAAATTTACTCTAATGATAAGAAACTTTAAGAAATTCAGATTTTAGAATTTTTTTTCAAATCATTTATGAACCAAATTAAATTTTTTATTAAAAATGACAATTGCACTACAAAAAAAGAAAAAAAATTATGAGAAAAAATACACAATAAGTAGATATTAAAAATAAAATAAAACAATAATAAATACATAAATATTATATATTGCAGAGAAATTTGAGAATTTGCACTCGTCGGTGGTGGTTGGTTTTGGAAAGAATTTAAATTTTTTTGATGATTGTATTGGTTAAGATTCATTTTTTAGAGCAAAACAAGCAAGATAAAAGAAGTAGAAGATAGTTAAAGAGGTCCAAATTTTTGAATTGAATTGATACCTATTTATAATGATTTTTTTCCTTTAAAAAAAAAAACAAATGCCAACGGCTAATTAAAAAGGCTTCAAATTTTTCTTTTTTTAATTTTTTAATTTTAATTTTTTAATTTTTTAATTTTTATTTATTATTTCTTTAAACCCTCTTTTTCATCTTCTTCACCATCTTCTTCTCTTCCGTAAAGAATTTTTTCATTTTTTCTCCTCCTTTCCTTTTCTTCCGGTGGAGTTTCAAACACCGTCTACCACTGCTGCTGCCCCTGTCGCCGCCGCTGCCGCGCAGGTCCACCCCGAACATTCACCGGCGCGCCTTCGCTGTCCACCCGCGGTAGAACGTCCACCTCCGTTGTCCACCTGCGGCAGAACGTCCACCTCTGCTGTCCACCGGCGTGCCTCCGCTGTCCACCCGCACGCCGCCGCCGTCCAACCGCGCGCCTCTGCCGTCCTCCGCCAAGCCTCCTTCAGTTTACAAAAATAAGCAACCGTTGCTTAGTGAAGCAACCCTCTCTCCTCTGCAAGAAACCCTTCTTACCACATCAGCCTTCTTCAATGATAAAAAACTCATGTTAGAGTTGCTTAATGGGCAACTCCTATGCATAGATTCTATCCACTTGGTGGAAGCAACTTGAGATTCGATCTTTTGTGTACATCAAATCAAATGTCCCAAACACAGTTTGATTTGCTTAAGGTACGGACAGTGCAAGTGCAATCCAATCATATCAAAGTAGCACAAGTCTGTTCTGGCTAAAAAGGGAAAGCACATGCCATTGCCATACATTTATCATTTTAATACGTGCCTATATATATAGTGATCATAATAATCATATCTTCTACTCATGTCAATGTCTTAATTATTCATTGCTGCTTTCCTCCCAGATTCCGCTTTTCTTTCTTTCCATCTCCGGCTATGGATTTGTTTCTGCCTCTTTTGGTTATTTTGAATTGACTTTTTGGGCCCTTCAAAAAGTGAATTTTCAATTTTGATTTCAAATGAATCTCGTGTCCCATGATCGTTCTTTTCGTCAAATACCACTAATGCACTTTGAACAAATCGTGTTTCATGAAGGAGAGAACATTACTTTGAATAGTAAGATGTGTATCATATGAGAAATATTTGAACTAAAAGAGTTATAAATATCATGAAAATTTGTATGGTATATATATATATATAATAAAAAATTATAAATACTAGTATGATCAAAACATTTCATATTTTTATATATTTTATTTAAATAAATTTTTTTTAAAAAAATAACAATAATGAATTCAAATTCATGCAATTATGATAAAAATATCTTTAAAAAATAAAATAGAAACGTAATTAATTTTAAAAAAGTGGAATTCAAAAGGAAAAATGAAGATATCCATAAAAAAAAAGTGAAACATTTTTATTTTTGTGAAGCATATAAAAGTAGATATAATTGGTAAAAAAGGAAAAAAGATGTCTATTAAGATAAGTGATGGTGTGTAACTACTTAAAAAGGTAAAAACCAATAAAAATCTCTATATAATTACTAAACAAGAAGTATTAGTTACTCAAAAAGAAGTATTAGTTATAAATACATAGTTACAAATTTAGACATAATACTTAAAGAATATTTAAAGATAAAGAAGAAGAAAAAAAGTGAATATCTTTTTTATTAATGTTATAGATAATAAAATTTATATAAAAAGGTGAATCTCATAACAAATTTGATATTAAAATTTTCAATTTATTTTTTTATACTCATAAAAGTCATTTTTCTTGGTAGACTAAATCTACCAAGGAGCACATGTTTCTCACAAGGTTTCAAGTTAAATGTTGGACAACTCTCATTTTTTTGAATGATCTCTTAGTTGAATGTGATGAGAGGAAGTTATCTATAAAGACTTTAATGCTTAAGTCAATAAAATAAAAAATTGATTAAGAGTTAGTTAGAGTTAGAGTTGCACTTACAAGGTAGTATACATTACAAGTAAATTGTTTTTATCCACACATCTTATAGTATCATAATATATGTCATTAAAAATTATTTTTATCCACACAATAAATATAATATATGTTGGTATATTGTTAAAAGGTGTGTGTACATAGACTATAGTTACAAACAAAATATGTTGTTAAATTTCATTCAAAATTAACACTAAAATTGTATGTAACTATATGTCAAATAGATATATACCTACATATGTTATACTTATAGTGACACTTTTTGTATGCCACTATATGTAACATTTCTTGTAGTGGTATATGTAATTTTTATTTAAATTCTTTTTATAAGAATTTTCATTTTGTGTTGATAAGATGAGATACTATGAGACAATATGCTAGCATGTTACTTGCTACTAGCTAAAAGTTATCATAAAAGGGAACACACAAGGACATCCCCTTGAAAAAAAATTATTATTGAGAGTATATTTATATAGATGCTTTTATGTGGTCTATCCCAACACATTAATATTTAGATTGAAAAATACACGAAAAAAAACTATTGACATTTTTTTAAAGAGTAGAAAGAGATAATAAAGAAACTCAAATTTTATCTTAAGCATAACTACTATTCTGTTATATTTTTTAGAGGATACTATTTATTTTAATTTCTTCTGATTTTTTTTTGCTACTTCTTAGAAGACGGTCGTATACGTTGAGTACACTTGTTGGTTACTGGTAAGTATCTCTTACACTTAATACAATTATATATTTTTTTATTCATAAAAACATTTATTTTCTTGCATAATGCGGAAACTTTGAAGAAAAAAATTTACTGTTATATTTTTTGTTCTTGGCTTCTTTCACTCACATATATTCTGAAAATCAATTCTACGAAAATAAGATTTTTAAAAGCCAATTTCAAATTCTAATTCAAACACATTGTCTCACGAAGAGCAAGAATAAAAATAAATTACATTTAAGTTATACTCTAAACAAGCAAAATCTCTATAATTTAGTTCGTATCTAATATTTTCCAAGGTTTGACTTGGTCGGAAAATTATTAAAGTCACCTTTAAATTGGCTATTAGATTAGCCCTTTGTTTACGTGTTTTCTATAGACTGACAAATGTATTATTTAAAGACATTAAACATCTAAATTTAGATAAATAGATTATTATTGAGACTCAGGGAAAAAAAAAAGAAAAAAATAGAGTAAGTGTTAAAGGAATAGGAAAACTGAGAAACTTGTGCATGAATGGGGAGAAGAGAGTGCAGAGTGCAGAGAGTGATGGTGAAATGTCGTAAAGAGAGACAAAAATTAAAGAAAGAAGGTATAAATGAATTGATGATGAGAGTGGTGTTTGAATAGGAGAGCGAGGTGGGGACTGGATCAAATCCTAGATACCCGAAAAGGATCACGAAATATCTGTGACTCGATTTTATCTCTCTCTCTCTGGTTTTCTAAAATTCTTCGCCCACCAACCACCTTCGAATTCATGTCCATTTACTCACTCTCTCTCGTGGACATATATATATATATATACATGGTTACCTTCATACAACTCTTGTGACTTTTAACTTATGTTTCTCTCTTCATTTATACACGTCTTGTCACCCCTTTTGTTTTTCTTTTCGTCCTCTTCTTCTCCCCAATTAATTTTATTGCAGCCTCCTTTATTGCATCTGCATGCGTTTATTACCACTCCCTAATACTAATACCCTTCTTCCTTCCCCATTTTCATTTATTAATATCACCAACGCAACGCATGGCCGCTCCTTCTTCTTCTTCTTCAACTTGGGTCATGGAAACTTCTGATGTTCCTCATGTTTTGGCCGTTGATGACAACCTTATTGATCGCAAACTCGTTGAGAAACTCCTCAGGAATTCTTCTTGCAAAGGTACACCTATTCTTCTTGTCCTTTTTGCCTCTTCTAACTGCCTACTTTTGCTAGTGGCACCTTTGTGTTTTTGATGCTTCCATTTTGTGGTTCTCTTTGAATGGGCCTTTTGCTTGTGTCTCATTGTTGGTTGCTAATGCTATTGCAGTCACAACTGCAGAAAATGGGCCAAGGGCATTGGAGTTATTGGGCTTGACAAGTGGGGGACAGAACACCATGAATGGTGTAAGTCTTCTCTTTTCAGATTAACCAAACTTTACCAATATTCATGTCACGGTCACCATATAACTTTATATTAAGTATGTGGTTCAGACTTGAGAGTTTGATTCCTATACTTGTGTGTATAGATTCTATAGATGACAACTTTTTAAATATATATCTTAGTTCCTCTGGCTTCTACTGAGGCATACCCTTGATTTAACAAAAATAATAACCAAGTTTTAATGACTTATAGGTTAATACAAGTTGTTTTTATTTTTTTGGGGTACATAGATCAATCAAAGTTATGTTGTTCTATTACATACATTTTACCTGAATGCTACGTGCTGACAAGTTAGACTATTTGCTGCTTTGTAGAGATCCAAAGTAAATTTGGTAATCACAGACTATTGCATGCCAGGGATGACGGGCTACGAGCTACTTAAGAAAATTAAGGTAATTCAGCTTTTTTTTTTATTCTTTTTTTTTTTATTTTTTTTTTTTTTTCACTTACATGCATTCAATAATGTAATTTAATAGCCACCACGAACTGCATTCTTTTCTAAACAGGAATCATCTGTAATGAAGGAGGTTCCAGTAGTGATCATGTCATCTGAGAACATACCAACACGGATTAACAAGTAATTCCTAGCATTAGCTACATTTAGTGTTGTGTACCATCTTTTAATCACATTTATTCGTCTCTAGAGGTATAAATGTAGTATCTGTTGTTAAATCTGCTCTGTCGTTGTTTTGCTGAAAACAGGTGTCTGGAAGAAGGAGCTCAGATGTTCATCCTAAAGCCCCTCAAACAATCTGATGTAAAAAAACTGACATGTCAGTTAATGAATTGTGAGGTTTGAGTTTTGAGTCTAATCAAAAAGGCTACACTGAGATCTGTGGTCTGGTAATATGAGCACTGAGCAGCACTCCAGAACCCTGCATCTGTCATGGCCCTCTATAGCTATAGCCCTTAAACCAGAACATTGTTTCCACCCTCTAATTGTAGTACTAGTTTAGGTGTAGGAATGCATTGCATTGTTTTGAAGGTTCTTTACTTTCTTCCATGCACTCTTCCTTGTTCATGTTCCTATTTATTTTCGTAGAATATAATTCATGTTCTTTTCTTATGATGTTTAGTTTAGTTGGTAGTATGCGTGAGATGTTGTAACTTCTTAGTACTGACTTCAATTCTTACCAATCAAAATAAAAATCCCCTTGGTGCCACAATAATATAAAATTGGAAAACCCCCAATATCTCTTGCTGCAGAATATGTGTTGACAAAATACAGAACCATTGCGTTTACATTACATCCAATATCCATGAACAAATAATCTGTTTACAATTTTCTATAACCAAAAGAGAGGGCTGAATTGCCAATATGAGAGCAACAATATCTTAAAACAAATCTTCCAAAATTCTGAATTGTTTATCCATCATGAAAAGAATGATGTTAAGGTATCTATTAGTATTAGTATAACCATTGGCAGAGGAAACATAAAGAAGCAAAGTGAGAAGTGAGAATAAGAAGTGAGAACCATTTATTAAACCTTTTTCTAAGTCCCCAAAAAACAAAAATGAAGTAAGACCATGAATGGCTTGATTCCTTAAACCACTGTGGTTTGTGTCACCAATCAAAGTGCTGGCCATGGTGGTGATGGTGGCGATGTCTATGTTCATCCAAACCCAAGCATTGAACAACAGGGTAACATGTGACAAACATGCACCTCCCAATACCTCGGAACATGCATGATGCTGCACGACTAGAACCAAACTTGTTGCGCTTCTTCACCCTGCTACTCTTCCTCTTCATCTCCTTGCTACGCTTTTGCCTCTCTATTTGTTGCTCCATTTCTAACATTAAAAGCAAACACAAAACATTGCATATCAGTATTACAAGTCTAGAACCAAAAGCTTATAATAAGAACTTTGAATAAAATGTAACAACATCTTTCGTTACCAGAAAATTGAAGGCAAGGTGAGGGAAACAGAATCGGATGCTGTGGCTATTGGAGAGGCTATAAAATTAAAAAAAAATGAATATTTAAGCAAAGAATATTCGTTTTGAGAGGCTAGCACTGAGTGAGGCTTGGGAAGGTTTATTGTGGCCTAGTTAAGATCTGAACTAGAGACAGCCTTTTACGCGTTTTCATCTCTTGATTGCATCCCAATAGTACTTATCCTTTTTAAATAAATAAATTTCCATTCTGCTTTTATTACTTTTCTTTCTTGACTTTTTTTTATTATTATTTTGGTTGTTTACCAACCAAAAAAATAAAAAATAAATAAAATCTTTTGATTGTTCATTATGCCTGCTTTAATTATTGATTTCAATTTTCATTCTTCAGGTTTGGATAAAATAAAACTCATTTATTATAATCATGCATTTTACTGTTACATATTTCAATATGTTGACTTACGTTACTTTTAATCATATTTTCATTTAACTTTCTATTTAAATATCATCTATTAGCCGCGTAATTAATAACTTATTTAAATATATGCTAAAAATGTTCTTGAGAATTTTTTTTATTAAAAATAAGGAGTTATTTTCAATAGGAAAATTTTTCAAAAGTACTTTTTAAGTTTGTATTTAAACTGATTCTAAATTAATAATGGAATTTCTAAACCATATTGTGAAGGTTTTATTTATTTATTTTTAACACGTATGTAGAGAAGACTTTGTTGGTAGATATAAATTTTACTTGCTAAATTTTTAGGTTTTGAAAGAAATTAATCTTCAATTATTGGTGAATAATCTCTTTAATGCAAGTCAAAAATAATGTGTATTTGAACGCTTTTATTCTTATAATTTAAATTATTAATTTTTAAAAGGTCCTTTGTGAATATGAGTGTGATTGAAAGAATATATAAACCTTTCATGCGGTGGTTTTGGAAGGCAAATAATGCAGGGTGAAGGTGGGGATTCTCTCTTTTATGTTCACACTGTACAAGTAAAAATAAATTTTAGAGAGGGTATCTAGGATTATCATACCAGTTTATTCTTCATAAAAACAAAAAGAAGTAACGTATTAAAATGTTTTAGTTTTAGTATAATTTAAAAGCTAATTTATTCCTTGTCCGTAAGTTCCTCTTTAGTATCAATTTACGTATACAAATTGGAAATGTGACAGCAAAAAGTGACGCGTGGTCGTGATTTGCATTAGCAAATGGGATGTAAACGTACTACACGCAAATTCAGTCTCTTAAAGAGTGATGATATACGAAAATTGCAGAAATCAATTGCATTGCGACATGCCAAATGTCAAATTAAACACTTTCATAATCACTGTCTCCCCATCAAATGCACCATAATCATTCTTTACCAAATCATAATTTATAGAAAAAACGAAAATCATATATATATATATATATATATATACTTCAGGAGTAACTCTACCTACATTTATATTGTACATCAAATTTCAACGATCTAACTATTGAATTTAGAGTTCTTAATGCATATATCAAGTCTGTAAATTTTAAAAAAATTTGAAAATCATTTGATACTTCGTTTAATTAATTCAAATCAATATATAAAATAATTTTATGATTATCCGTCAATTTGAATTAATGAAACGAAGTATCAAGTAGTTTTTCAATTTTTTAAAAATTTGCAAACTTGATCTATGCATTAAGAATTTTAAATTTAACGGTTGAATCCGTGAAATTTGATGTAGAACATGAGTTATTGAACAAAGTAAGTATAGGTAGACTTACTGTTAGAATAAACGGATCCCTCTTCATATATATATATATATATATATATATATAGACAATAATTGTTATTTAATACTCCCTTTGTTTTTTTTATTTGACATTTAAGGTTTATGCACAAGAATTAAGAAAATAATTGATATTTTAATTTTTTAAATTATTTATTACTTATTTTCCTATTATATCCTTTAGGTGATTGGAGAAGAAATAGGTACATTAAAAATGAATAAATACATTGTTAAATAAACATACATTAATTATTAAGGATAAAAATAAAAATAAAATTAAGAAGTTATTGATTTTAAAAAAATAACAACAAAAAAAAATAATTAAAAAAATAGTACCAAAACGACTATGAAAAAAAAAAAAAGAGTAACCCAATTAGTATAAGCCACTTATTTATTTATTTTTTGATTTAATTTGATCTATTGTTTTATTATGTTAGATCAATTTGAGTTATTTTCTTTTATTTAAATTTTAGAGAAATAAATCATGTGAAGCCAAATAGATTCAATATATTCTTAGTCTAAAATTTATGAATCTAATTCGATCAGTTTGACTCGCTAAGTCATATCAAATTGATTTATTTTTATTTGAACGCCTCATAAAATATTTTTTATATTTCTAAAAATTCATAATAAGATAAAAATAATATTGCTTCTACAAACCAGTGTAATTAGCATTATTTTAATTTCCCACGCTAAGTGAGACAATTCGATTTTTTTATATAAGTATATGTGCGTTGGCAATGAAGTTAATTGAACAAATTATAATTAGAACTAAAACAAGAATAAATCATTTTATAATTGAAGATAGCTACGCTAGACATTTCTTCATATATATATATATATATACTCCCTTGACCTCTCTAAGAATTATTTCATATGTTCCATTTTGTTTCATGTTTAAGGCTTTGAGTGAAGACTTAAAATATATATTTAATATATTTGAATTTATTAAAAAAATATAACTTTTCAAATATACTTTTAAACCTTTTGAATTTTCATCAATTAAACAAGTATTAAGAAATAGTTGGTATGTCTTCCTTTCAATTAAATAAGTATCAAAATATTATATACTATATAGGATATAATTTACAATTAATAGGCAACAAATCAATTAATATGTCTTCCTTCTTGGTATTTATGGAACATGAACAAATACACATTTGGTGGTTGGTGATAATTGTCAAATATGCATTCTTATTTTATTTAATTAAGACAATTATTTATATATATTATACTTTTAAAATCTTGTTTTTTGTCAGAAAATATTTAATCAAGAGATAATTTTAATTTTAGTTTAATTTTGTAAAAATAAGGTATTTTTGGTGTTTTTCTTTATTGAAGTAGAACACAAGAGAAAATAATTGGGAAAGTTACAAGTTTTAAAGAGAAAAAATTACTCCAAGCTTCACATGATCGTCACTCCAAGCTATCAAAATTCACTCAAAGCTACTATAAATTCACTCTGAGCAAATCGATCAAGTCAAAGAGTAACACTGGAAGACCACATCAAATTGCTTATAGTGAGTAACAGAGGTACTCTAAGCGACCAAAATTCGCTCAAAACTTTCACAAATTCGTTATGAGTGAGTAAAGATAGAGGACACTCCTAGACATATTCACTTGGTCATTTAGAGCAAGTAACATGGGTGCTCTAAGCAACTGGACTTAACCCAAAAAGCCCATCAAAACTTTTTCTTTTATAAGTCCCTTTAGGAGTTCATATTATAACACATTTTCTTTAGTACAATTTTAAGAGACACTAGAGAAGTTTATGTGAGATCAATTCAGGAATCACTAGTACAAAAATGACTTTTAAAATCTGGGTTTTAAAATCGGTCATAAGGTAGCCGATTTTAAAAGTGACGCGGTGGCAATTTTGTAAATAATGGCATTACTTTTAAAATCGGCTACGTTATGACCGATTTTAAAAGTTTCTGACGCTACTTTTAAAATCGACTCTTGAACAGCCGATTTTAAAAGTGAGACTTTTAAAATCCGCTCTTCAAGAACCGATTTTAAAAGTCTACTTTTAAAATCGGCTATCAAATAGCCGATTTTAAAAGTATCACTTTTAAAATCGGTTATTGAACAACTGATTTTAAAAGTAGCATCAGAGACTTAATCTATACTATCTCCGCTCCCATTCTCCACATAGCTCCATTATCTACTTTTTGCTTCAATAGTTCATATATTCTTCTCTTTACTCTCTCGGGCTCTCATCTGAAGTGTGCAGCTTGTCATTTTCTTGGAAGAATACAACATCAAGGTAACATTCTCTTCTCATGTCTCTTATTTCGTTGTTGTTGGGCGAATTTGAGTCTGGAACGGCCCCAGAACGGCCCGTGCTGCAAGCAGAACGCCCTGTACTGCTTGCAGCACGGGCCGTACTTCAAGCAGAACAACCTGTACTGCTTACAGCACGGGCCATACTGTAATCAGAACGGCCTGTACGTACTGCTTGAAGAACGGGCTGTACTGCAAGCAGAACGGGCCGCACTGCAAGCAGTACAGACCGTTCTGATTGTAGAAC